GTGACAACATACGCTATGGTTTGTGACCGTGAAAATTTCAGGGAGAATGCAGATCATCTTGTCCAGTTCACCAGTGAAAGCCCTTTCTTGCAGAGTCCAACTCTTTGTTAGAGAGCAGTTTTTGTGAGAAAACAGCTAGAGCTGAGAATCTGATAGGCCATCGACCTTTACAATCTCCCTGCTCATCTGATCCAGTTTCTGTGTTTCCAATATCTGAATCAGTGATGCAAAATGAAATTGCACATTATATTTTTCAGACACTCATGACCAAGGATTTTGAAGTGTGTATCAGTAACTAAACTTAATTTCCTGATATATCACCATGAAGTAGTGTGACAAAGTGGTGTTGAAGACGGAAGTCAAAATGACACAATTCCCTCCTCTCCCAATGAAAAAAAAATGGAATAATGGAAATGCAGTGCTCTTTCCATACTAATTTAGTAACAGTCTTGTTGTCTTAAATTTAGAGACTGGTACTTTCTAGAGTAATATTTATTAAGTTTTCCCTTCTATGAGTTGCCCTGCGTAAAATTCTCCCGGTTCTCAAGACTGGGTGGTTGTGAAGCGCTGAAGGTGACCCAGCCAACCAAAGGGCTCCCTCAAGGGAGCTCCTGCATGATCTGCTGCTGCCTTTCAGCAAACAAGCATCCACTCAACAGGCCCAGCTTCCCCGCTTTCACAGAGCAGGACAAACATTGCGATGGTTATGTTGCTCTTCAGAGTTCAGATGGCAAAAGTCTTAATGAAGATAAAGTGTTTGCCGGATTGTCAACAGCAAAACCCTCTCTCTTGGTATCAGTAATGCAGGGGAGCTTCCTGTGTCCCTGTCTCTCTTCATCATCTGTAAATACTCTGAGGTCTACAAGGAAAAAAAGAATAGATTTTAGTTACTGAACCAGGGTGTTCGCAGTAAAAGAGTATTTTTTTTGCAAGGTTGAACCTCTCTCCTTATGAAATAAGAAATCATTGAGTTACGTTTCTCAGTGGTCTCATGGTTTATGATTCCGATTAATAAAATATACCTTCTTGCAACTTGAATCTTCTTCAGCTAAATGTGTTTTTGAATTTTTAAAAAGATAGAGCATTTTGAATTTTTATTTCTTTTGCAGAACTACTATCGTATCTTTTTGTTGTCAGATCAAGGCTTTCATGGCTCATTGCATCTATGCATAACAAAGAATGGATCTATAATTCCTGTGAAATTTTCTATAGTTCAGAATAACACCTTCTTGAAATGTACTCTGCAAAGACTTGTTTAAAATAAGGATTTTGTTCTTGAAAACTAACCTTAGCATTGCCCTGGCCTTTATGACTTTGGCTTGGAAATTAGCATTGCAGAGTTCAGAGAGCACACTTTCCTGAAAAATATTTTCTTAAGATGCTGTAACAGCCTCAGCAACTGCTGTTTTTGGACGATTTCATTTAAAATTAATCACTTGTGGAGTTTTCAGCAAGTACATTTTAGAAAGAAAACACTTGAGTCTTTTTTGTTTGTATATGAATGTAGACATATTTTTGCCTCTTTCTTTAAAGAAGTTGAGTGTCTCTCATATTTTTGGACTTGAGTAAGATCTTGTGAATTTTATTGCTGTTATCTGGATAGGTGCTAGCATTTAAGGAATCTCACTGTTCACTCCCAGACTCTGAGTCTAAAAAAAAAAACAAAACAGCTTTTTTGAATGTTTTCTGCCGGTGCGAGCTTTAATTTATTATTACAAATGATCACTTTGCCTTGTCCAGTTTTATTTGCTATAGAAATCGGCATGACAATTGAGCATTCTTCTGGGATTTCAAAATTCAGTTCGCAATTTAACTTTTCTTCTGCATCTTACAGATCTAATAGGCAGCTTGCCTTTTAGCTGCCTTCTGGAAGTGAGTCAGGGAGACTTGGAGAACTTAGCTTGAGAATCTACTTTGAAAATGTTATTACTGGGACTTTTGTTATTACGCATTACCAGTGATTGACACATTAAACAGTATACAAAACCTGAGTATTTTTCTGACACAGCAAACATTTTCTGGTTTAGATTGCTGATGTTTTCCTTTTCAGGAGAGTGCAATACCAAGGTAGTGGCTGCCAGCAGATTTGTATCATCTGACTAGCTTGTCTTTTTGATAGATTCCTGGCAATAACAGAGATTCAGGTTTCAAGGTTAAAGATGTTTTATAAGTATTAGTTCTTGTTTACAAATAATGAAGTCTGTAATCTTTTTCATCCTAATTCTTGGATCATAATTCCTGTAGATGTGAAGTGTGGTGTGTGAAAAATGACATGAATTTACTGGTCACCAGCTTTTCAAAGCTAGGACTCAAAGGAAATATTGTTTTCCTGTAAAGCATTCACCTGTTTTGCTGCCTTGTTCTTTTCCTGAGACAAGATATTATAGTAATGATTTTGCTTTTAGAAACATATTTGCATAAGTAATAAACCTTAGAAAAGGGCACAGGAATGACCGAATGAAATAATTGTGTTTATTAGACATTAAAAGTAGCAGCTAAAAAAACCACACCGCAGCTGTACAAGGCAATACCTTTATTATTCTTTTTAGGACTAGAGTTGGCCACAAGATCTCCCAAAGGAATATGAACTGATAAATTTCTCATTTGTGATCTGACAAATTATTTGCAACTTTGTTTTACTTGAATGGCTTTCACACTAGAAGGAGAGTGTTCATGTTAATATTTATTCATCTGGGCTTTTGTCATTGAAGTCATGCAGCTGAAATCACCAGAGTGTTCGAATGTGACAGCTGGCTTAAACTGCTGTTCAGGCTTTCGGGTACCAGGGGAATGGCTTCAGTGTAAAATGTGAATAGAGCACTAATGATGTTTCAGAATCAGGTGATGCAATTGTCAAGAAACCCCATTTCACACTATTATTTATAATAAGCCAGAAGACAGTGTAACATATGGAGGTGAAATTTCTGATGTGTAGACCACGTATGCAAATGTGACGTCAGGAGCTGAGGATTGAGGAATATGGTGTGTCACTGTAGGAAAGTTTTCAAAAGAGGTAAAGAGGAAAGAAGTCTTTGAAGGTGAGATAAAAAGAATAGAATTTTTTCCCCATATGTACCTGAGAGATTTGAAGGAAACCAAAGTTAAGAATCAGTATTCAAAAATGTCATGTTGTTTTTCTAATTACTTTTTGTCTCTGACCTTTGAGGATTTAGGAAAATATTTAGGGCTGGCCAGCTTCTCTAGTCATCTGGCATAAAAATATAGCTAGGCTTGCAACTATGTCACTGAAGTCTATGAAGTTTTATCTTATACTAAGCCAAAATTCTTCCTTCAATGTCAGCCTCATTAAGTTCATATGTATAAATAAAGAACAGAAATTGTATTTATAAAAATGTATAAAAATAGAATATTTTGCGGTAGAAATATCTGTCTGAAACATTTTGTACACATCCAACAGCATGCATAGGTAAATTGCCTTATTTAAGGAATAATTCCATGTAAATGCTATGAGAAAAGGTGCCACTGGAGTTTAATATCTACCAAAATTTAGACATGTAACAGTAATGAAAATCTCTGCTCTGGAGACAGTTGTAAAATCTCCATGGTTCATTGCTATGTAATCAATTTAGTAATGCATACACACATGAAAAGTTATGATATAATCAACTAGGATTTGTAAAATACATGATAAAGTTATTCACTAAGTGTAATAAAATTAAAGCTACAAAATTATACTCTTTAAAATTAAGAAAGTAAGGAGAACTAAATTTTCTTTCTTCTCCAAAATGCTTTTTTAAAATATCATATTCATTGCCTTAAGAAGACCAAAGGAAATTAGGCACTATGGGAAGTACAGGAAGAAATCTGAATCTAGGGAGTGACAGGGGAAATATCCTCCACATTCTAATATTACGTATTATTGTCCATTCATGAGATTTTATTGTTTTGATTTGTTTTATATTTGTGTAGATTGTGTAGATTTTTATTATCTTTTTAAATTTAAGGTTTATAAAAGAATTATGTTGTTATGTCTTCTGAGAAACGGATGAGCAACTTAAATATTGGTTCTATAAGGAAATATTATGTGACATGTCTCTCTAAGATATTGCTTGTCTGAACTGGAGGCATGATGCAACCATCATGAAACACGGAAAACATGCAAATAACCCCCTGTCAGTGTTTCAATATATTTTCCCCTTAAGCCAATCTGGTTATTTAAAGTTGCTTAAATCATGAATGTGTTTGTCTTTTTGTCTTATGAACTGCTTCTTAATTCATTTTGTAAGTAAGTCGTGCTCACAGTGGGTGAAGTCCAACTGTAGCTTTCAGTCTGAAAAACAAGACTGACTTCAGCTTGTGATTTGGCACATAGAGTGCAAAGTGTGGTAGGAAGTGGATGGCCAAGGGGAGCGGAGGGGGTTAAGAATCAGGAACTGGGGTTGGAAGTATACTCAGTGCGAAAGACAGCAGGGAGTCTGGTATCAAAGTTGTTAAGAGGCGAGCAATAACATGGGACCTTAGAATAAGGACAGGAAATTAAACAGAAAGAAATGGATAGGCAGTAAATGAAGGGATACAGAAGAAGAGAGACTGGAGTGTTAAGGAAAGAGCTTTAGCAACAGGGGAAGAATTAATTTTGTCAAGAGCTTAACCACGAGGTGGAGTTTGAAACATTGGTGGTACACGTTTAGGTAACTGAATATGCTCTTACTGGTAGCCAGCAGAATGGGTTGAAAGTCACTGCAGCAGAAGTGATAGTTGAAAATAATAAAATCAGAAGGCACTTTTTAATGCATTTCTATTATGTTTATGAGTCTTGGCCTAAAGGAAGGAGTGGTATGTTTCTTTGCTAAAAGAAAAATAATAATAATAAAAAAGAAACTAAAAAAATAAAATAGAATGGTAGCTTTTTCTAGACAAAACTGAGCAAAAAATATAGATCTCTTTTACATGGTAGAACAATATTAATTGGCCTAGGGAACTGAAGAGTAGGAAGAGAAAACTTACTAATCTAAAAATGCCTGTTGTTTTATTCCTAGGTTCAGATATTGTTCAATGGTTAACGAAGAACTTATCTATAGAAGATCCAGGTAATTTCTCTTTTTTTCATATCTGAAAAGTCTAGTTTGTCTTTTTAAATGGTTGGACCTGACTTTGTCTTCTGTTGCAGTGGGGGTGGCCAGGCAGCATTTGACCAGTATAATAATTTCAATAGCAAAACAGAGAGCATCAAGCCTTAGAAACCTTTGCTAAGAATCTGGGGATTTTCGTTATTCATTTTATTGGAGCAGGTACCAGGAAACAAGATGATGGCCAAGAATGAAAATGATAGCTGCTTTAATTAGTAGAAAATGAGTTTAAGTTCCACTCCATGAGGAATTTAGTGTCATGCTAAATAGTTCATTAAACGTGTGCTGTTTTCTTAACAGAATTTTTCACTATCTGAAAAATAAATAGAATTAATAAAATACCCTCTTGTACTGTTACCAAATGCTGCATTTCTATTCTTAAGTTTGGTCACTCTTATGGCATCCTAAATGGAAAGTGAACTGTAAATAAAAGTTTTCGGTAGTAAATAAACCACATTTTTTTACATAAAAGTGTTGAGGAAGAACAGTTCATTGCTTGATCAGTGGGGTTGGAATGTGGAAGTAAAGCTTTGGTTCCAAGCTTTGCCACAGGTTTCTTGTGCAGCCAGCGGCAAACGCAGTTTGGTGCGTATCTGATATTTATTTCCCTGATTTACAGGAATCTTGTTACATGATCTGAAATTTCCCAGAAAGGAATGATTTCTAGTAGAAAATGCTGAATGGCAGAACTAGAATATTCTGTGGAAGTTCCTATTATCTTTTGGTTAGGGGAAAGATAATCTTCCTTCTTTAAAGTATGATCAAAAATATTATTTTTCGACTCTCCATTTCAGACTTTGGGAATGGAATTTATGTTTTTTTTTATTTTATTTTTTTATTTAAAAAGTGTGTTTTTCCTGTCATATTAGAAATGAAAGTATGATCATTGTGGAATTTCAGCAAAAAGTAAAATCAGTGTTTAAAATTGTGACTTGAATAATGAGGAACTATTATAAATACATAATTCAATTTGGAAGTAGCCAGTTCACAATTTATCAATATGTTACATGAAAGAGATCAGTAATTGCTTCCAGTTTTATGTAACTTTACACTGTCATGTATTTGCTTCCTGAAGATAAAGTAGAAGTTGCAAGAGACCTATGTGTGATATTGTATTTCTCAGGTGTCAGCTACAAAACACTCCTCTGTCTCTATTTGTCAGAGTTTGAAAGATTGCCATTCTGTGTTTATTTTATATGGAAGCTTAATGTTTATTTGTCAAACCAGAACTGCAATACTGGGATAGGCTGTCATTCAGATTATTTTGGAATAGAAGAAACCTTAAACTAAACTGGGGTTTATCTTCTCAGATTGCATGGGTGGAAAAAACTATCCACAATGACAAAAATGTCTTATGCATGTCGGTCCTAGTCCAAAGTCAGCTGTCTGGAGCTGGCTGGATGCAAATCTTCAGGAAGCCAGTCTCCCTAAATGCTGCCTTTGGGTAGTGCTCAGAATTGCCAGATAGCAGCGAACCTGACAGATGGTGAGCTATTCACATGACAAAACTTCTGAAAATATTCTGTTCTGTAAGACCTTTTAAGTGTGTGATTTTTTTGTTCCAGTTCTAGACAAGACAATCTAGAATTTCCTGTGGAAAATCCCTACATTTCTGTTAACTGTTGTCACTATAATTTGAATTTCCAGTATCTTCTGTCCACTTTTCACCAGTGTGTCAGGGTTTTACTATGGCTGTCTTTTAAAACTCCCCTGTAGGGTCCTGTTACAAAGCTCTTGTGAAGCTATGCAGTTTTGTGATATGGAAATAAATAATGCCTGTGTTTGCACTGAAAGTTATCATCTCTGTCTAATGCTGATATCAGCAACATACCTGTAAAAGCAACATAAAGTAGACCTTGGTTCACATATTTTAAGAGTATATTCTACTCTGTCCAGAAAAAATTAAGGACTGTTTGCACACCTCATCTACCAGTGCTGTGAACTACTCGTGTGAGCAAGGCATGCAAGTTGTTATTTAAGGGGGAAGTAGACAGTTAGATTCACAGAATCATAGAACAGCCCAGGTTAGAAGGGACCTCGAAAGATCATCTGGTCCATCCTTTCATGGGAAAGGGAGTCTAGATGAGATTATCTAACACTTTGTCCAGTTGCATCTTGAATACCTCTAGTGATGGGGACTCCACCACATCTCTGGGGAGATTGTTCCAGTGAATGATTGTTCTCACTGTAAAAAATTTCTTTCTTATATCAAGATGAAACCTCTCCCTGTGCCCCTTGTCCTCTCCATGTGGCTCCTTGTGAAGAGAGCCTCATCCCCTTTGTAGCCACCCTTTAAGTACTGGAAAACTCTGATGAAGTCCCCCCTGAGCCTTCTGTTCTCCAGGGTGAACACACCTAACTCCTTCAGTCAACTTGTTCTTTAGTGAAACAAAGAACTAGTAAGAAGGAAGTGGCACTACCTTACATTAAAAAAAATAAAAAGTCACATTTTGTATTGCAATTTTTTTCCTTTGTTTTGCACAGGGAGTACAACTCCAGTACCATTTATGTGGGAATGAAGAAGGCTGCTTTATGGATAGTGGGAGAACAAAAGGCAGGAGAAGGTCTGGCAGCAACATGTGCTTTCACTGTATTAATAAGTGTAAAACTATTATCTGGAAACAGCAATTTCAAGTAAAAAATAGTTACAAGTATAAATTATAAATTGCCAGTCCAAAAAACCCTGCACATTTTTCATAAATGGAAAATCATTTTCTGTGGAAGATTTGAAAGATTTTGGCTTGCTGCAGTAAATCTCCATCAGGAAAATAAACTGGAGATGATGGGTGGATTCTGCTAAATTATACCAGATTTGAAGTTATTTCAGCAGAGCAGAGTAGAGCTTGTGCCCAAAATAACTGTGCGCAATGTACAGTTGCTGTTATATTGTTTGCTTTTCAATATGTATTTAAAAAATGTTTGTGTTTCAGCCTACAACTCATCTGTAAAATTTTAAGGAACAGAAATTATCTAAGTTATTTTTAATGTGGAAGTTTAATTCAGTCATAAAAATAAGCCTGATCTCAACCCTAAAAGAATCAATTAACTGAGTTTACAGAATTGTAAGTGCTTGTGGTTTGGCACTTAGACATGTGTTTGTTGAATTGACCATTACAGGGTAAGTGCTGACTCTTCACTGATGGTGCCAATTACTCTTAATGCGGAAAATCTACTCTGTTTTTCTATATTGTGTTTTTCTTTTTAAAAGTGATAATTAGTGCTGTGAAATGTACCAGACTGACCACACTAGAGACTGAAGTCCTTTTAATCCTTAGGGGAAAAAAAATAGAACAAAAAGGGTAGATGAGCTGATTTAAAGGGGTCAGCTGAAATTGCCACGGGACTAATTCTGTACTTGGTTCTTGCACTGATGCCCTTTGGGCAGACACTTGATTTCTCTATTCCCTAGCATTCCAACATGCTAGTGATAAATCATGCTGTTGTCTCTTTAAGGAGAGAAACCAGTGTCAGTTTTCAAGTATTTTCATGATGAACTGTGTGTTATTCACAAACACACGTTTCATCCTTAAGTCAGCCCATGAAGAATTTCTATCTAGGTTGCTCAGAAAGACCCTTTAAGAGTCGGTAATATGTTTAGCCATTATCCCCTTGTTCCTTTACAGTACCTTTACTCCTGAGTGTTGCTTATTTAATTTACTCATACCTGCAAAGCCAATTGAATTTGGCTGAAGGCACTTCATTATTGGATGGTTACTCTAGCAAAGCCGCAGTACTGCAGCCAGCTCCAGCATGCGCAGCCTTTGCATTCAGATTGCCTTAGTCCCGCTCATTCTGGCAGTCTGCTGAAGGAGTTTGCTACTGCTTTTGGGCATCAAGAAATACACTAAAGTCAAATATATATGACTAAATCAAACTTTGTAAGTTACAAAACAGGACTGTACCTTGAAATAGACACGCTCCTGTGATTTTTCAACTTCAGTTCTTGCCATTAACAGTCTTTTCACTTAACTGATGTAGCTAATTTGTAACTAGATGCCCACCAGCAACCATGTAAACTGTGGTCACTGATCCAGTGCAATAAAAAGGGAGGACTCAGTAGCACAACATCCGTTTGTGTTTCTTCTACCTTTTGCTCCTTTGCTTTGTAGTAAAATCTCTCTCCAGCAGCTGCTGTATTAATAATGACCTTGATAATACACAGTACTTGCTCTAAAGAGTTAGACGAAAAATATTAGGGTTTTTATTTGAGTTTATGAAAGCGTACTTGAAAAATTGGTCAGCTCTAAGTTATTTCTGCCCCCTTCTCCATGCATATGCAGTAAGGTAGCAGCAAAGAGCAGGAGCCAGACAAGATGTTCTAAACGATTGCCACTGGGGAGACAGCACCAGACAGCTGCAGGGAAAGGGGAGGTTCTTCCAGAGTTTGCTAATGGAGGAAAGAGCCTCTTATGAAATGGAAGAAGGAAGGGAATGGCAAGGTCATGCTTATGTTTGCAGTCTTTGCATTAATCAAAACTTGTGGAAATATAGCAAGAGTAGAATGCATCCCATTTATCAGCTTAATTAAAAAAAAAAAAAAAAAGCTGATAAAAGTAATTTACACTGCCTGCACACATACCATAACCCTCATATTAGGAACCCATGAGCACATTTTGTTCGATGAGGCAAACCTCATGAACCTTCCTCAAGTCTAGTGTAAATAACTTTCTAGGTTTCTTCTACTGGGTGAATTTGATCTGAGCTTGCCAGGTCCTGTAACATTTAAATGGAACAATGACTTTAATTTCAGATGAACAGAAAGACAGTAAAACTCAAATCCTGCTTGGGAATAGAAAATGTCAAAATTTACAGTCACTGCTCTAGTACCAATAGTATTAATGCTGTGATACTCAACCAAAATGAAGATGTATGGGTCAGTTTTCCTTTAGTTATGTGTAGCATGCGTGGCACTTACCTGTGTGGGGCAATCAGTGGCCTTCTAGCTGCTGCTGCTGTTTCAG